AGCAGACGGACGTCGATTGTTGGCAGCTATGGCGGAACTCAAGTATGTGCCTCGATGTGAATATCTGGTTCGCACATTCACACTCAGCCCAGTATTCGGCTTGGTTGGGCTTTGGTCTAAGACCCCGCACAGCCTGCAGTCACCAGAGAAAGACAACGGTGAAGATCTTCGAAGCAATGTCGACCTATGCTGTGGTAATTCTCGCATCTCGTTTTATCTTCCTTTTTGAAGACAGGTATAAGGATACCCGAACTCCAGCCATTCGAAACTACTTCATCCCTCTACGCTTGCTCAATCACTTGTGGAGCCATGGAACCAGAATGACAACGCAAGACTTGTCGATTTCAGCGAGAAAACTGTCCCCTTCGGACGCCTTGCTTTTGCACAGCCTCTGTAATGCATCGGAAACTTCGTCTTACTAGGGGAGATCACATGACACTGCATAGGCTTGAGAGAAATGAAACTCCGCTGCGAATGAAAACGAGGGGTAGATGTGTTGCTCATCAAAGTTGAGGAGGCACTGAAAGTGGCCACACCAACGATTAAACTTTCCCGAGTTGTCAGTGACAAATCTGTCATTCAAGTCGCTAACAGGGTCAGTCAGTAAAGAGAGCTTACCATTAACGTTGCGGATAAGTTGGCAAAGTTTTAGTGTCGTCATCGTTTAAGGCCTGCTCCGTGGAGGTCAATAGTTCAGCCCAGTATTTTTATCGCCCCCACCCCGGTCGACTTTGAGGCAGAAAGAATAATTACTACGGCACCTGGCTCGAGCCGTCTGAGCAGAAAACTACAGGGTTCTGACGCTGATCCAGTCCCTGTGGCATCGTTTGGTGTATCCCAGAACTTTTTCAGCTGTCCCATAGACTAATGTGTTTGTCGTTGTTGTGTGCCCTACATCTTTGTGGACGCAGAAACGGTGACTGGTGCGTGAATCAGTTTATAGCGATGCTTTGATTGCGATGCATTTACCGTACTCTTTTCCCCCCGCAACTGGGCCACGTGTCAGGACAGATTGAATGGTACATGCACTGCGAAAAAGTCGTTCAAACAATTGCTGCAAGTGAGAGTAGGTCAGCCAATCGCACTGACCGACAGTCAATATTGGTGCACATGTGAAGACGCAGAAATGTTTGTAAAGCTACCCGTTAGACATACGTAAGCCGGTCGGTCACAGACTGATTTCATCGCAAGCCCTATATGGCTCGCTTGTAGCCGGAGGGCGATCAGCATGCGCTGTCAACCAGAACGTTCTCGTGGACCGATGCAGTAAAAGGTGGGGCGAGAGTCAGGCCCTGGGATTTTAACTATCCGCGAGTTTAAGTCGAGAATTCAGGTGTCAGGCGGACAGTAGACACTCGTTTTTACACTAATGAAAACGGCATTCAAACTTTTGATAACATGGTCCAAGAAAGACGAAACACCCCAGCATCTAGTACTAAGAGCCCACTCATGCTTACTTGAAACAGATAGTTTATTATTCATGAGTACAACTGGAAAAGAGCTGCGCAGCAAATACGTTTCTGTGGACAGCATAGCATGGATTTTAATACTCGGATCGGAAAATCTGTTTGACTTTGCCCCCGCTAGAGGTTTTTCTCAAAGACGTAATCACAATGCAGCGATAATAAACAGAGTTGGTCAATATCGCTTAACCGTCGGCATGTCACAGTGTCGTTACTGAACTTTGTTACTTTTCAGAAGTCAGTTGAGTGACCATAGAAACTGGGCTAGTCAACAGTATCGGTCCCTCAACCTACCAAATCATCTCGAACCAAAATTTCATTCGTCGGGAGTCGAAAATGCAGGGATGTCAATGGAGTGTAAATATTCAGACAAGGAGTGCAGCTTTACTTTCTCGAATACATGAAAATGTTTGAGACCTGGCTCGAGTTTTGGTTCTGCCTTGCCCGCAAAGCAGATACTAACGCTTCAATTGTGTATTGCGCGGTTCAAAACCCTCCTCGTTAGTGCCATCAGATTTCCAACGCATTTGTTGATAACACTAGAGGGCTTACTGTATAGTAAGCAGACTCCGTCTCCTTAGGCGGC